GATTTAATACTCGGCTGGATGGCGTACAAGATCTCTCTTCTTTGTTTACATTTTTAGGGTTATTGCGCGTTTTCGCAGAGGTCTATATTAATTTGCTACCGATTATACATACCCTAATAAATCGATCAGAGAAGGCGGTTGTTGTTCTATAGTTTGTTCACCCCCTTCATCGGGAGAAGCTTCCGCCTCTTCGCCGCTAGATGGCGTTGATGTGCTAGGCGACTCGTGCGGTTTTACTTGCATCCTAAAAAGCAGGGTAACAATACAAAAAAAAAGACAGCAAGAGAGTAGGAAATTTTGAGTAATAAAATGCACTTAGATATAAGTGTACCCGAATCTCATGGCACTAAATAAGAGAAAAATTGAACGATTTTCACCTGGCAATGTTAACTTGTCAATATCGAATTCAGTTTACTTAATTTCTGTATTTAAATTTATTATTTTCATTTAAATACTGTAGAATATTATATGCCTATAATATATCGACTGAATAACTTGTGTCTATTGTCACATTTCTTGAAAGATACCATTTCAAATTAAATTTTGCATACAAATTCCTAAAACTTAGAGGTGCAAACCCGGATTCGAACCTACGCCCTCTGCTTGAGCGGCGGTACGTCAAATCATTAGGCTATCACGGCTTTTTAAAGAGATATTAAAAAGAGGACGATTATACATATTGATGTTGCCAAAAAAAATTTTAATTTGTCTAAGCGCCATAAGATTATGGTACAATAAATACACAGAAAAAGGGTTTGGAATTTTGAAATAATTGTGCCTAGATAGATAGTTACAAAGAGATATATACTACTTAAATACTTAGTGCTTTAAAGAAACAACTTGATTACTACCTGCAAAACTGTTGGTTGAATAACTATCTACATTTCGAGTATAAGTTGTCGGACGCTCTATGACTGGTATAGTTATATACTGCCTAGTATAGTTATACTCCGTAAAATATAGCTTGATTAGAATGACAGGTCGACAAAATTAGGATGACGTAGGATTTGTAGTAGCGTCTTAAGCCGGACACTAATTAGCGAGTTCTAACCGTAACGTGACAGATACAGTAACGAGGTACTAGCAGGGTTCTGTCACTCGCTCAAGGTTACGTGATAAGTGCCTACCGCTGAGTGTATCGCCGACAATGCTAGCGCTGAGACAAGTCTTTTATTTACATTACAATCCTTGTACAACCCCAGCATTCGGTTCCGCACGATTGCACACGGCGGGCAACGTAATTTTCACCTCTCTGAGCGCGTGCTTAGGTTCCTTTTTCGTCGTAGTGAGCGCCTGGTGTCATTAGTCAGATTTAGTAGGCTATTATAGCGTAGGTATTTTCGATTTTGTATAAGAGTGAAGTATCTGTTACGTAGTAACTATTAAATGATCTGTGGTTCTAGTGTGTACGCGTGAAACAGTCTTTACTCGCTAGAATGAGTGCGTCGGAAATCCACAAGAACAAATTATTTTTCGAATTAATTAATTTTTGTTTATAATATCAAGTGACAGGACGAACAAATGTGAGCATTACTGTGTTCCGGTTTTGAAGGGTAAGGGTGCTGGTGAAATTACAGGCATTTGCGCAGTGGCAGTGCCCCTCACATCTTTATTTCGCGGTTTAAAGCTGTGAGTGGCACAGGGCACTGCAACTGTTATAGACAGACGTGTAGCTTACCATCAGTTACACGACTTGTTCGTCCCGTCACTTGATATTATAGTTGAATTTAAAAAGAAATTAATTACATAATTATCTAAATCCGCAACGTAAGTTTCGTCAAGAAGACACAAACCGTTGAATCAAATGTGACTTACTGTCCATTGTCCTCTTTAGTTATGTCCAGGCCGAAAGCAGAAACTTGCATTTGTCCAGTGTCATCAGCTGGTGGTAATGCTGGAAGATGTCTCGATGTACCTAAAGAAAAAAATGTGATAACAGAAATTGAGTGATTAACATAATAATTAGAACGTAAAAAATAGACGCTTTCGTGATGTGGTGCTGGAGAAGGATGCTCAGCATACCATAAGCCGCTAGACGCACAAACCTCAGCTCAGTATTACATATAAGCTTTCTACAATATGCTACCAGAGAATTCTGAAGAATTTTCTTCATATTGCTCGTCGACAACCAGACAAACTGGTTGTGGTAGGTAAGGTGGAAGGAAAAAGACTCCGCGGTCAATTGCCTAGCCGATGGAGTGACCAAGTGCCCGTTCTCAATGGCCTCCGTATAACAACTGCCCTGAGTGAAGCCACAAAGTTCGTTCACAAAGTTTCGAAAACCTTTCGGGGTCACAAAATTCAACAATGAAGATTACGACTCAGAAGAACATAATTATTTAATTTTCAGTTATTTATCATGAGTAATTATTAAAACACGACAATTATTATTGTATATTTTTTTAATAAAGCGAGTTGTAGGAATTCTCTCTTAAATAAAATACAATCATTAATAGATGGAAGTATCTGAAACGTATGAGCGAAGGCGGTGGAGAACGCTCTCTGCCAATTTACTTTCTAGCGATTTGCGGGGTGCGAGAGGTATCCTCTTGTGAATGGTCGAGGCGTTCCTGTCCCGCGCATCACCAGCAAACGAATAGTGTCGAATTGACAAGAGCGTTCCGAGCTGTTGCATGATTATTCGAATTTACAATAAAATGTTTGTAAAATGTAAAGTGTTAAGTCGAAAAGCAGATTTCAGTAAAATTATGTGTTATTCGTATTAGGGATTTACCACACTTATTAATGAGGAATCGGCTTGACTCGACCAGAAAAAGCTATACGTCTATGCAATTAGAGTTTAAAAGATCGCTCGGATGTCCATTTCATGGACTTATAGTTTTTCTAACCGGATTACTGCGGTTCCTAGTCGATAAATGTGGTGATACCCTTATATAAATTTGTTACTAATATTAAGAATTATTTCTTAATTTCAATAATATTACAATTTTATTATAAAAAATTTATTAAAAACAAAACGTATGTTAAATTTGGAAAAAAAATATTATCACTGTACACAAGTATGTACTAAAATATTGTTAACGGTTATCTGCGTTTTGACATTATGTTTGCAGTTTCAATTTGCGTTTAGTCACTTTTAAAATGAATACTGAAAGCTAGAATCCAACTAGTCTCCATATGATTATTAAAAATTTTGTAAAAATTTTTAACGAACATTTTGACGTTATAATATTAGAACTAAATGTCGACAGTAAATTCGTCAATCTCAATACCTTGAAACAATTTTGAGATTCAACATTGAGGCGACAAAACTATAAAAAAATTAATAAAATATTCTTTATTGCATATTATAAATTACAATGACAAAACAGAATAGTAATGTAAGTATCACAGAGATAATGTACAACAGGCGGTCTTATTGCTAAGTAGCAATTTCTTCCGGGCAACCTTAGGATAGAAATTTAACAGTTGTAATAGGGGGTGCAACCAAAGAATATCTTGTAATGAAAGTAATTATATTATATAACTAAAAAACTTGCACGGCGCGTGTAACGAGATCGTAGGGTTCCGCCTTCTTGCGGTTCGAGGCGACGGAGGCGAGGAAGCGGTGGCGTCCGGCCAACAACGGTCAAATTTTGCGCGCTTCGAGCGTGGGTTAATACGCTTTTTAAGTTGGCAGTTTTGAAACAAGAAACTGCGCATTACCACGAGGCTATTTTTAAATTTAACTATATTTAGGTAATGCAATTACATCATGTTTTTCAAAAATGATAGATTGAATATTTGGGAGGCGCATACCTTTTATTCAATTCAACAATTGACTTCTTCGATTAAATAATTGTGATGAATAAGTGGATAATTTCTCGAGTTACCATGTTAAAGAATCATGAGTCGGAATGACGTAATACAGTAGTGGTAGTTTGACCTCTCGCCTCTCAAGTAGACCTTTTGTCTACAGATCCCACCTTTTGTTTACATTTAATAAAATTGTTATTTTACGTATTATGTTAGAGGAGTTGCAACACTCATACAAATCCGTTTAGGTTTAAGAGTGTAAAGTAAAATCGTGTTAATGTTTTTGTAATTATTAAATAAATGAATAAAAAACCTCTGAGCTTCTCCTAATTTATGTGCGAAATTTAATTTGAAATTTACCATGAGCTTTTCGACGAAAGAAAACGTGTAAAGTCGCCAACTCACATTCGGCCAGCGTGGCGTCTATGGCCTAAACCCTCGCCTGGGAGGAAACCCGTGTCCAGCAGTGGGACGTATAAATGGGTTGACGATGATGATGAGTCGGAATAGAACGTAATTTGGATAAAATTTTATTGATTAAATACTTTTCCTATCCAACTGGTAAATAGAGTCAGCAATAATAGTAATTTATTAAGATACGAGTGGGGGTTTGTGAAAAACATCACACGAGTGTTTTAATGCCTAATTAAGTACAGTTCCATACACTGCTTCATCTATACACATATTATAATCTCTCTATGATGTGCAGGAACCGCATGTTACGACTGCCGAAATGGCGGTCAATAAAAACCACATGCGTGAAAAAAGTTTCGAATCAAATTGTTTTGTTTTTCAGAGATGTTCGAAATTTGAATGTAATAATAAAATCGAATTCGATGTTATTATTACTGCAATAATAGCATTTTCACAGATAAGAAATTTGTTCTGACAAAACAGTTTATCTTTATGCTGGTCGTAATTTGCGGTTTTTGAACACATCACAGAGGGTTTTTAGATAAAATTACTAATGGTAACATTTACCCAAATAACTATGTACCTGAAAGTGACTAAAGGCAAAAAAAATATTATATTGCAATGAGTAATAGGCAAAGCGTCCACACGTTGCCTAAAAGGTGTATGTGTCTTACTTGACTGTTGTGTGAGCAACCTTAGCTTCAACTGACCGATTTTCTCTTCCTCCGTCGGTTCTGGTGGAGGCTCATCCTGCTGCGGCCCTCTCATTAGACCGAGGAGCACTCCGAATATGTACCTGGTAATGATGATAATTCATCCGGTATCACAGAACATAAAACTCTAAAAGGCCTATGCACACGGCGTGTTTTTCAAATTCAGTAAACATTTGAGCAACGCGCGTCTACTGCGCGGATAAATTATCCTATGCTCGTACGCGCTTTACGCAGTCACTCGTATATATACAAATACCTTCGCGTGTTTGATTATACTGCAGTAGTAGAACGTGAGAAGAATGAGCAAGAAATTCTAGGGGTCGCTCTTAGTAAAATATACATTAGAACTTAGAATAATAACGCATAGAATGATAGTTTCATATCAAACGAACTGTCACAAGTGAGGCAAAAATCAAATTCATGTAGGCTAGTTTTAGTAGTAGGTTAATTTTCGGTTTTAGTGAATATTTATATAAAAATACAAGTTGAAACGCGTTACTTTCTTGTGGAATGTGATGTTAGTATCTATTTTATGTTTGTCTGACGTATTTTTACACTCATTTACCGCACATTTCGTCATTTTTGCTATAATTGTTGAGCTGTTCGCGGTGCAAGTTGACCTTGAGCATTGACGGCCCGCCCGCTCGTGTAGGCCCTTTGGGAGCGCATCAATTTGCCTCACTTAGCGTGTGCGGACTAGGTTTCTATGCGTTATTATTCTAAGCATTAGAATACATTTATCATTAGAATAGCGTCGCCTTACTTTCTCAAACTCGTATCTTTAATTACAAAGTTACTGAAATGCAAAAAATGGATTGTAGACACAAATTTTGCAGGCTGATTTCACGTGACATTTCCTTCATATTCACACACTGAGTTTTACCTATTTTTAAAGTAATGCATCTAAATTAACACCCTTTATAAGAAATTTAAAGTAAATAGAAAGTTTTGCCGTCTCCTGAATAATCACTCTAAGATACGAGTTTGAGAAAGTAATACATCGATATTTAATTTAAATTATTAGCGCCGGCCTTACTACTGTTCCAAAAAGAAAAAAGAAAACGTAAAGGAGTCACCATACTCATCGAAACGGAATCTCAATAAAAGATTTATCTCCCTATAATAAGAGGGAAATAGGCGTTACACGTTTCGCGTCTGGGCGGTCCAAGCGGAAGCGTACGCGAAACGTCTTCGCATTTATTACTTGGACTTAAAGCTTTTTATAACCGGCTTAAGCCGATTCTAGTAAATGTGTTGAGACGATTAACGAGAGTGAGAACTGTTATTGGATATCATATTCGTCATTCCATGAATCGTCAAGTGCGATACAGACGAGCATCGAATGCGTTTCTCGCGTACGTTTGTACAGCTTTGAAGATACCGACGCAAATGCAACAATCTGGTTTTCGAGCCTCTGCATCTGCGTCTATAAAATACGCCGTGTGCATGTGTCCTAAATCCAATTATACAAGTAACATTTTTTCATCATTAATGTAATTTACAGTACGAGATATACTAGTGTTGCAAGAAACAAATTGTCGGGGTTTTGAAAGTTTTGAAAGTGCCACGCGCCATTTTGAAAAAAAATCAGGGAACCATTATTTACATTTTTTATGGTTTTTAAGCTTAAGTTTTAAAACAGGACGTAAATATTTTAAAACGGTCGTGAAAAAGTAAAATACGCTCCACTGAACAATTTTTCAAAATGGCGCTTTCGCCCATTCTACAAAGCACCGACGAAATTGTTGAAACATCTTTAAACACTGCGTGCTCTTATATAGGACCATAGTAGAGCAACTTACGTCATTCACTAGGAAGTAAAATCAGCTGACTTTGGTCTTCTCCTCCCAATCTCGTCTATATTATTTTAATTTGGTGTATGACCATGGATTCAAATCTTTCAGTCGCAATATGAACGTTTTTTTAGTAGCAGTAGAGCTCCTTGTGAAAGAGATCGCTCAGTGAACCGCGCCCCGGTTTTGAAGGATAGGGGTGCTGGTGAAATTACAGGCGCATGGGACTTGTCAACTTATGTCTCAGGGTGACGGGCGCAGTGGAAGTGCCCCTCAGATCTTTGCGTTTTAATGCACCGAGTGGTACCGCAACTGTTATGGACAGGCGTGTCTCTTACCACCAGCTCCAAGACTTATA